TGGAGCAGCTCTGCTGTGAGGACAGGCTGAGAGAGTTGGGGCTGTTCAGCCTGGAGAAGAGTAGGCTCCAGGGAGATCTTATAGCGGCCTCCCAGTACCTGAAGGGGCTACAAGAAAGCTGGGGAGGGACTTTTCACAAGAGCAGTTAATGACAGAACAAGGGGAAATGGCTCTAAACTGAAAGAGGGGAGGTTTAGATGAGATATTAGGAAGAAGTTCTTCACTGTGAGGGTGGTGAGACACTGCCCCAGGTTGCCCAGAGAAGCTGTGGCTGCTCCTCCCTGGAAGTGTTCAAGGCCAGGTTGGATGAGGCTTTGAGCAACCTGGTCTAGTGGAAGGGGTCCCTGCTGATGGCAGGGGGGTTGGAAATGCATGAGCTTTAAGGTTCCTTCCAATCCAAACCATTCTGTGATTCTATGATCATAAGCCCCCAGCTCCTGGGCGCAGGGGCAGCAATGCTGTCAGGCTCGCTGCAGCCCTTCTGTTGTGGGGAGAGGACAGGTACAGGGAAAGGAAACAAAGTTTGAGAAAAACAGAAGCATCGAATGAAAACAAATCCCACCAATTAAACTAGAAATCAAACTGAAAAATAATAAAGTACCAGGACAGATTTAAAATGCTAGCACATTTTGTTATTTAGAATTTCAAGGCCTTACTGAATAGACTGGTGAAAGCAGAATAAATATCACTTTTACAGTTATTTGGGAGCAAATTGTCAAGCAAGTTGTCATGTCTAAAGAATCACAAAGAGCGAGGCTTATTGTCTTCATACTTTGAAATACTCCCCTCTAAATCACAGGTGCTCCCATTGGAAAAAGCTTAGAGAGTCTAGCAATCATGAGAATGTGGCTTGCATGGGAAACTTCAATTAAATGAGAGCATTTATATTTATACAGGTAATTTGTTTACTCACCAGCTGCAGACAAGCTGAGTGGGAAGGCTGAAAAAATTCTCACCATTGCAGAAAATAATCACTGTAGTTAAGTTTTAAATTTAATAGCAAAAGAAATCACAGTTTCTTCAGGGAATGAGTCACCTGCAAAGTCTGATGACAGACAAACAGAATAACTACATGAAACTGAAATGAAGGATTTAGCACAAATCAGTGGAGATCCAGGCAGCCACTGCCAAGGCACTGGGAATATGCTCCAATCAACCTGGGATCTGCAGTAGCCTTGGACAGTGTGTGAAGCTGTAATGGTGATTGTTAGAAATGGACCCCATATGGTATCCTGGGTCTGACCACATTCCCAAAGTTAAGAGGAATTCAGATCCAGAAGGTATTGTTTGAGGAATAGTTCAACAAATAAACTTACTTACAGTAAAGATAGAATCTGGCTCTGCAGTTAAGAGATTACACAGAAATATATTACTAATCTTGAACGTATGAGTGCTAGATGAAATCAGGGCCTCCTTTTGGGCAATGAAAATGTGACCATTTTTTCACTGAACAAAAACCAGAAGTGACCAGTCTGACAGTTCACCATCCTCTGGTTACTGCCCTGATTTTTCTATAGTTGTCTTTTTGTTTTAATGTTTTACTTGGGAGATAAAATGAATGAAGGCTTAATACAGTGAAGAAAGAAAGTGGAAAAAAAAGATGAAAGGAAAGACAGAGGGGAGTGAGCCCCAGACTGTGGAAGATTTGGGAAGAAACAACCCATCATCAGTCCAGTCACCTTAACAGCTCCACACTTGGTGCTGGCGATGCTCTGTGGAATGTGCTGTGGCAGAATCAGTGCTGTGGAGGTGGCTTGCCCGAAATGTTCATGTGTTTATAGTAGTCCCGTGGCTGCTGGGAGACGTGGAAAATATATCTGTTCATAAACAGCACTTTTGCAGGTAACAGT